GCTGCACAGTCCGAGTGACGTCTCTGGCCAGTGGTGTCCTTTGTGGTTAGGTTTTTCCAAATTTAAAATGCAAGGGAGTGTGCGGATTTTCATTTCACTGCATTTGAAACAGCGCATGTGTGTGGAGCAACGGGGCTGCCGCTGACACCTAGCTCCCCCTGCCGGGCTCAGGGCAGAGGTGCACCTGCCATGCTTTGCCTGCCATGGGGTCTGTGAGGGCTTCTGCCGCCCCTCAAAGGAGCAGTTTGAGTGCTGTGTCAGCTGCGTGCGGTGATTTGTGCAGGGGTGCAAGGTGAATTTCACACTGAGGGAAAGGTCAGCTTAGCCTCCTGCACGTCCGGGCCCTTCTGTGGCGCTGTGTCCCGTGGTCACACAACTTGCAGTATGAAAATAACACATTTTAACCACGGAGAGTTGAGCCTCTGCCTCTGGTGGGCATTTGGGGCAGTGATTAAGATGCCACTTGGGATGCCCACATCCCCTGTCAAAGTGCCTGGGTTCACGTCCCAGCTCTGCCTCCAATCCCCGCTTCCTACTGCTCCTCACCCTGGGAGGCAGTGGGTGATGGCTCAAGTGCTCGGGTCCTGCCACCCACGTGGCACAGTCTCTATCACAGGTTGTAAGGAGGTCCACAGTGAGCCTGACAACGGTTTGCTACAGACAGGAACAAGTGGGTATCGTCTTGGCTGGGGGTTCCCCAGTCTCCTGCCACTCTGCCCATGAGCCAGGTGACCCAGGACATGCTGTCATTCCAGGGCAAAGCTTAAAATGTCAGAAAGGTGGATGCGGAAGCGTGAAATGACTGAGAAAGCACACTGGAGACTCTCTCCTGCATTTGAACAATGACCCCGGCGTTCCCGGTTCGACAGCGAATCTCTGCAGTCATGACCTTCAGAGACACAGATCCGTGTGCTTTTGAAACTACAATACTACTTTCAAAGACCCGGCTTTCTTTCTTACCCCCCCCCTTTATTTATTTGAAAGGGAGAGAGACAGAGACAGAGACAGAGAGACAGAGAGAGAAAGAACTTCCCTCTGCTGTTTTCACTCCGGGCTGCCTGCACCAGCCAGAGCCAGGCTCTCCGCCTGTCGCCTTCCCCAGGAACGTGTTAGGAAGCTGGATCTGAAGCAGAGCTGGCACTTGAACTCAGTGTTCCAATATTGGGTTTGGGCGTCTTACGTAGCGTCTTGTCGGCCCCTGTGGTGGATCTTAAGCAGGTGGGTGGCTTTGCTGAGTCATCTTGGCTGCTCTTTGGCTTGCACACTTACTGATGAGTGAAGTTTGCAGGGGAGACTGTGAACCCAGCTTCCACAGAGCAGAGCCCTAGACGGGGCTCAGTGGCAGGCTGACTCATGTTTTGTCAAACAGATTTCATCAGCAGCTTAAGAAATCAAATATTTAAACAATTCTCATATTTTTGTGATTGTTTACATGGAACAAAGAATGGAAATCCATGCCAGGCACCTTCTTTGGGAGTACAGGCGTTGTCCGGAGTCTGGAAACAGGACGTGCATGTGACTTGCAGGCAAAGCAGCCGTGATCGGAGACGCGTGCAGGAGCCACGTGCAGCGTCCCTGTGTAGCAACAGAATTCACGGATTTGTCTCTGTGTCTGCCTGTCTCAGGGTCTGTGTTCTCCCCTCCCTCTTTCCAAAACAGTTTATTTCACTGAAATTCAGGGTCTAACAAATCATAGAAGAAAGAACATGAATGGATTCAACATAAAGGAGAATTTTTGTTATGCATTGATATATTCTAGGAAAGGAAGTCATAATAACGCATGTGACACAGCCTCACAGCCTCCTGTTGCAGAGGGCAGGGTGTGCCGAGGGTATCGGCTGTGGGGGGCTGCCACCACCCCCGGTGGGTTCTGCTGGGCATTGTCCTCACAGCTCTAGGGGAACCCAGAGTGCTGTAACATAGCCCAACTGCAAATACACGATGGAAAATGACTGCTGTTGGAGCAGCAGGAGTCCTAACGGGCTAACCGATGACGGATGACCAGGCCAGCTTTCTGTTCCTCAGATGAACCGCACAGCTCTGCACTTCGCTGTTGGTCGGAACCACTTGTTGGCCGTGGACTTCTTGCTGACTCACAAGGCCAGGGTGGACATCGCAGACAAGGTAAGCTCGCCTCCTCCTGGGCAGGGGCTTGCACCTGGCGCTCTGATTCTCCTGCCCCTCCCCATGTCTGCCTGGGAGAGGGCTCTTCAGCAGAGTGTATGTGTGCTGTGCTCGCAGGATTCTGTTACCACTGCCTGTGGAACTTGGCCAGTTACTGACTTTCCTGTAATGACCTGGTGGCCAGTAGCCATGAGAGGATCCCCAGTGTGGAATCTGGGGAGAGGAGGACAGAAGCTGACTGGCCCCAGGAATGTTAGATCTTGATTTTTTCCCCTGTGAACTCTGGTAATAAATGCTGTGTGCCTGGCATACTTATTAATGTTGGGCCCAGCTGTATGAGTGTTCCTGGCTGAGCATCCCTGAGAGCCTCTGAGTGCTGACACTGCATGCGGAAAATCCTATCCCTGGCCAACATACAGGTGCACAATCTATGTAAAATCACCTTCCAGGTACATGGGTAGAGTGTTACAAAACAGATCCGAACTTCATTTTTAAAGGTTTATTTATTTATTTGAAAGTCAGAGTTACGCAGAGAGAGGAGAGGTTGAGAGAGAGAGAGGTCTTCCATCCGATAGTTCACTCCCCAGATGACCGCAATGGCTGGAGCTGTGCAGATCCGAAGCCAGAAGCCAGGAGCTTCTTCCAGGTTTCCCATGTGGGTGCAGAGGCCCAAGGACGTGGTCCATCTTCTACTGCTTTCCCACACCGTAGCAGAGAGCTGGATCGGAAGAGGAGCAGCCGGGACTAGAACTGGCGCCCATGTGGGATGCCGGCACTTCAGGCCAGGGCATCAACCCGCTGCACCACAGTGCCGGCCCCCCGAACTTCATTTTTAGACCTGAGTCTTACCCCACCAGATATCTCACACATGTATGCAAATACTCCAAAATCTGAGGGATCCAGAATCCAAACACTCCTGGACCCAAGTGTTTCACATGAGGACTGGAGCTGTGTATATAACACCTGGTGTAGAGGTGAGGCGGCTGAGGCACAGCGAGATGGCCCGTCCTGCCTGAAACAGACAGCAGGCAGGATTCTTCCTTCCTTCCTTTCTTTTTTTTATTTGACAGGTAGAGTTGTAGACAGTGAAAGAGAGAGAGATAGAGAGAAAGGTCTTCCTTCCATTGGTTCACTCCCCAAATGTCTGCCATGGCCAGTGCTGTGCCGATCCAAAGCCAGGGGCCAGGTGCTTCTTCCTGGTCTCCCATGCAGGTGCAGGGGCCCAAGCACCTGGGCCATCCTCCACTGCTGTCCCAGACCATAGCAGAGAGCTGGACTGGAAGAGGAGCAACCAGGACTAGAACCCGGCGCCCATATGGGATGCAGGTGCCGCAGGCGGAGGATTAACCAAGTGAGCCACTGCGCTGGCCCCAGGAGGCAGGAATCTGACTCCAGAGACCCACTATCCACACTAAGGTCAGCCCCAGCCCTAGGGCCCCCCGTTTCCCACCTTCTCTGAGGAGCCTGCTGGGGAAAGCCCCTCACTGTGAGTACCCCAGTAGCAGAAGAAGGCAGGAGCCTTGCTCTGAAGTTCTGTTTCTGCATCAACCACAGGACCATGGTTCCTGAAGGCAGTTCGAGTCTCGGCTGCTCCATTTCTGATCCAGCTCCCTGCTGATGTGCCTGGGAAAGCAGTGGAGGGTAGCCCGAGTGCTTGGGCCCCTGCACCCACCTGGGAGATTTGGAAGAAGTTCCTGGCCTGTGAACCAGTGTATAGTGTATAGAAGATTCTTTCCTTCTTGTTCTCTCTCTGTACCTCTGCCTTTCAAATAAGTAATCTTAAAAAAAAAAAAGTCACCAGGTGATTGTGTGTGGGAAGCACAGGAGAAAGACCCAGTCCCAGCTCTCAGGGGCGGTCTGTAGCCGATGTCTATAGCCGATGTCTGTAGCCGATGTCTGTAGCCGATGTCTGTAGCCGATGTCTGTAGCCGATGTCTGTAGCCGATGAGAGCTGTGCAAGGCATTGCACGCTAGGGATCACCCACATGGCCTGCAGGAGAGAGACCGGGTGAACTGAGGCTCCTCCTCCCAATGACTAAAGGATCCGGGGTGGGGGGTGCAGGTGGAGCTCAGAGGTCACTGACAAGCATCTGCTCTGGGAGCTGCTTGCCCTGGGGAAGCTCCTCAAGCGTGTGTGTCCTGAGGAGGAGCCATGGCCCCACGTGACCATTCAGGCAGGGAGGGCAGGCTGTCAGCAACTGCCAGGACTTCACTCACTGCGGCTCGTGGTGAGGCAGGTGTGGTCGTGACCCACAGCTTGCTCGGCAGTCCCTGGTGCGCTGGCTTCGTCGGAAGACTTGGCTTTGGGAAGGTTCCGGGGTATTGCTCGGAGCAGTGACGCCCTGCTCTGCGCCTGTGGTTTCAGACTCAGGTTGCCTGCAGCTGGAATTCCCAGCTTCTTTTTTTTTTTTTTGCAGGCAGAGTGGACAGTGAGAGAGAGAGAGAGACAGAGAGAAAGGTCTTCCTTTTGCTGTTGGTTCACCCTCCAATGGCCGCCGCAGCCAGCGTGCTGTGGCCGGCATACCACACTGATCTGATGGCAGGAGCCAGGTACTTATCCTGGTCTCCCATGGGGTGCAGGGCCCAAGCACTTGGGCCATCCTCCACTGCACTCCCGGGCCACAGCAGAGAGCTGGCCTGGAAGATGGGCAACTGGGACAGAATCCGGCACCCCGACCAGGACTAGAACCTGGTGTGCCGGCACCGCAAGGCGGAGGAGGATTAGCCTACTGAGCCGCGGCGCCAGCCCCAGCTTCTTGATTTTAGACTCAGTGCTTAGAATTTTTAATTCTGAGTGCTTTAAATTATGAGTGACCTGTCGGAGAAATGGAGCTCCTATGAAACCAGGATGCATGCCTGTCCCAACAGGTGTTTCAGAAAAGCGTGTGGAAATGCAGTGTTAAAAAAAAGAAAGAAAACATGGATTTCACTTTTTTGGCACTAAATATACTTACCTTTTAAATTCATTTTTCCATGAACTTTTTGAACTACCTTCATATTTTGGTGCAAAAATGCCTTGAGAGCTTTGTATTGTTTTCTCATAATGTACGTTGTCCGTGAACACCTCCTACTCTGGTCTCTTCCATGACCAGATTTGAATGCAGACTCGGGAGTGCTGAGCAGCATTCCCGCCTACCTGGTTTACCGAGAGGCAGGCACAGCTCATCTAGAGAGGCAGGAGCCATGTGGGCAGGGCGCCCCTTGGGCAGCTGCTTGCAAGGAGGTGTGATTAGTGTTGATGGGGACGCAGGGTCAGGAAAGCAGGCACGGCTGCAGAGGCCCAGGCTGAGACACTCAAGTGCCTCACAGGAGGGGGACAGGTCAGAGTCAGGGCCTCTTCCGCCAGAGCCTGGGGCCTGCTCTCCACCGTGGCTGAGGTGTGGAGCCCACCGTGGCTGAGGCGTGGAGCCCACCATGGCTGAGGCGTGGAGCCCACCGTGGCTGAGGCGTGGGGCCCAGGGCCCTGCTCCGATCTCCCAGCTCACCTCTCCACCATGGCTGAGGCGTGGAGCCCACCATGGCTGAGGCGTGCAGCCCAGGGCCCTGCTCCGATCTCCCAGCTCACCTCTCCAGCACCTCTCCACCGTGGCTGAGGCGTGGAGCCCAGGGCCCTGCTCCGATCTCCCAGCTCACCTCTCCAGCACCTCTCCACCGTGGCTGAGGCGTGGAGCCCAGGGCCCTGCTCCGATCTCCCAGCTCACCTCTCCAGCACCTCTTCACCGTGGCTGAGGCGTGGAGCCCAGGGCCCTGATCCGATCTCCCAGCTCACCTCTCCAGCACCTCTCCACCGTGGCTGAGGCATGGAGCCCAGGGCCCTGCTCCCATCTCCCAGCTCACCTCTCCAGCACCACCCACCCCCAGCCAGGCTGTGCTGCCCACATCTTTTGTGCTCAGCTCGCACACAAATGCCCAGTGCATCCCTCCTGATCTGAACCTCTGCGACATGTTGTGTACATGGGTGTGCAAGGAATACTTTAAAGTTAGCTTCTGCATAAATGGGATCTCTTTTTAAATTACTTGCCTTTCCTGGTTCTCTTCTTTTTGGATACCACCTAGTGATGACATCTGACACCTGAGCTCTGTGTGTGTGTGTGTGTGTTTAACATTTATTTATGTATTTGAAAGGTAGAGTTATAGAGAGGGAGGGAGGGAGGGAGGGAGGGAAGGAGGGAGAGAGAGAGAGAGAGAGAGAGAGAGAGAGAGAGAGAGATCTTCTATCTGCTGGTTCACTCCCCAGATGGCCACAGTGGCTGGAGCTGCACCAATCTGAAGCCCGAAGCCGGGAGCCAGGAGCTTCTTCCTGGTCTCCCACATGGGTACAGGGGCCCAAGGACTTGGGCCATTTTATACTGCTCTCTCAGGCCATAGCAGAGAGCTGGATAGGAAGTGGAGTAGCCAGGACTTGAACCAGCACCCATATGGGATGCCGGTGCTGTATGTGGGCGGCGGCTTTACCCACCACACCACAGCACCGGCCTCTGTTGTGTGTGTTCATTTCTGTGCTTTCCTATGATCAGTAGCCTTGTCTGTACTGATGTATCTATCTGGCTACTGATACCATGGAGATAGTTGGAAATGTGTGCACACACACAAAGCTTTTCTTCATCTCTTCTTTAATAAAGAATAGGATGACATGTTTTCTCTCCATCTTTTTTCCATATTTAGCAAAGCTCATGGAAGTCTTTCCAAGTCCATTATTATAGCTCCAATTAATTATTTTTAGTGGCTGCATGATAGGGTATAGCTACTTCATCATTTATTTAACATTCTCACATTGACAGACATATTCCTGGTTCCTGGTTTTCTTGCTATAATTAACATCCTCAGATATATAACTTCAGAGGATGGATTCCCAGGTGGGATGCTGTATTTTAAACTTTGGCAGAGACTGCTAGATGGCTTAAACAGCCGTGGCTTCCTTCCCCCTCGTACCTTCCCAGAGGACTTTTCTGTAAATACTTTCTATTGGTTTACTTGTCTCTTTCTTGTTGAAATTTTCAAGTGCTTCACGTGTTAGAGAATTATTGCTGCTTGTTAATGATACATTTAAACATTTATGGCTTGTTGGCTTTGTTTGCTATGTCTTTCCTCTTGTAACTCTGGACTGAGAGTGCACATTACGGTCTAGAGCTTGTTCTAAGACACTTGCTGTTTGTGTGCTTTCAGATGAACTCAGTGCCATGTAGTGTTCACTCTCGCACGAGTGCTGTGTTACGCAGCATCCCATTTTTCCTTCCAGGCGGCAAACCACCTCTTCCTGAACTATTCACTACACGTACTCATTTCCTCCATGGAAGTTAACGCGCTTTTGCTCTATATTTAATTCTCTCTTCTTGATTTTCACAGTTGAATCTTAACTTGGTCTCTGTTGGCTAAGCTGGGGATGGCCTCCTGACTGACAGATTCTCTTCTCTCTCCCCCGGGAAGCATGGCCTGACGGTGATGCACCTTGCAGCTTGGTCTGGAAGCCTGGAGACCACGCTCATGCTGGTGAGAGCTGGAGCAGATCAAAGAGCCACGACTCAGGTGGGTGTGTGGTCACCCCTACACCCCTGCAGGAGGGGGGTTCCAGGTCACAGTGAAGAAGCTCACGGCTTCTGGATGACTGCAGGACGGGATGAATGCTCTCCACTTCGCAGCTCAGAGCAATAACGTGCCGGTTGTGGAGTACCTCATTCAGGATCTGCATCTCTCGGACTTGAACCAGGCTGACAAGGTGTGTTTTTTGGCGGTGTGACAGTCACCCTCCTCCCTCAATTTCACATTCTTCTTACCCCAGGGAGGTTATGGAACTCACAGCTTATGTGGGCAGTGGGTGGTGGGCCCCAGAGACCATTTGAGAAGTTACCAGAGCCAAGTGGGGTCATGTAAGGGAGAGGAGATCAGCTACAGGTAGGAACTTTCATTGTTTACTGGAGTCTCTGTAGTCAAAATGCAAAGAATTTTCTTCTTTGGAGAAGTGGAAATTGTCACCCTGGGTAACAACACAAACATCAGAAAGAGATTCTCATAAGATGATACTTACTGGGCAACAGCAGTGTATGGCAAAGGGGGATACACATAATGTAGGAAACAGTGAGGTACACCTGATGTAATACACCCTGGGATACAGGTGACATAGGAAACTGTGTGGTACACCTGATGTAGCACACCCTGGGATACAGGTGACAAAGGAAACTGTGAGATACTCCTGATGTAGCACACCCTGGGATACAGGAGACATAGGAAATTGTGAGATACTCCTGATGTAGCACACCCTGGGATACAGGTGACAAAGGAAACTGTGAGATACTCCTGATGTAACACACCCTGGGATACAGGTGATAAAGGAAACTATGAGATACTCCTGATGAGGCCAGCTCTCTGTTG